GCTGGGGAATGGCGCCGTTCCTGAGGGGAAGGAGGGATCTCGGGGCGCACCGGGGGATCGCCCCTCATGGCGCCGCCATCTTGAGCTTCCCCTTCCCCGCCGCTCTCCTTCCCCACCGCCCTCTATGCAAATCACCCGCCATTCCCGCGCGCCGATTGGCCCCTCCCGCCCCATTGCGAAATATGCAAATAAAGACGTGGCGCGCCGCGCGGCGATTGGCTGAAATGCCCGCCCTCTCCCTGCGCCACGCCCTCCATCCGTGTCGTCACCCGCGGCGCGGGCTCTGATTGGCCAAAGCGCGAGGAAAGGCGCGCCCACCGCGGGGTTTGGGGGGGCGCGGGGAAAGCGCATGAAGGTTCGAGAACGCGGGGCCGGCCGGCGCGCAACGCCCCCTTCCGGCCTGCGTCACGCACGGCAGGGACCAATCACTTGTGACCGGGGGGGCGGGATCTGCGCGGTGATTGGTCAGAACTGTGCGAGGGAGGCGTGGCCTTCTGGAAGGTTCTGGGCGGGTATAAAAGGGCGGCGCGGCGGTCGCGGGGCATTGAGCGAGCCGGAGCTGAGCTGAGAGCCTGCCCAGTGTGTGAACGAGAGACCGGGCCGGACTGCGGGTAACGGGGCTGGGGGGGCACCAGGCGGCACGGGGAGGGCGGGTTGGGACGGGGCTGCCTTAGAGTGGCGTAGGGCGGGTGTTGGAGGCAGCTTGGAGGTGACCTGGAAAGGGCGGAGGGCCCTCCCGGGTGATTTTGTGTCCTCAGGAACCGTTGTGCTGCGGGATGGGGAGGGAATGGCGGGTACTGACCCATTTTGGGCTGGAGGGGTGGTGTTTTTTATCCCGGTATTTCCACGTTTATCTCATCAATGTGGTCTGCCGCGGGAGGGGGAGGAGCGGGGACTCCGCTTCCCTCCCCCCCCCGCCGACTCCATTACTTTTGAGACGGGGGAGGGCTCGAGGAGGCGCAGCGCCCATCTTGCCTCGCTGGGGGGCGGCCTGGGGCGGTGCCGGGACATAGCGGGTGCTGCAGTGCCCGGGGGTGGAGAACGGCCACGTGTGGGATGCGGAGGGGATGGCTCCGGGGGGGGATCGGTGTCGCAAGGGGCTGGGGCTGCGCTGGCACACGCGGCCCGCCCGCCCGGGACTCCATTTCCCGGCAGCCCCCGGACACGCCCCTCCCCCGCGCTCACGTTGCGCGGGCGGCGCGGGGCACGGTGGGATTTGGAGTCCCTGGCCACGTGGTGCGGGGGACACCAAGTGGCGGAGGCGGGGAGTGCAGCCGGGGGGCGCTGCGGGGCCACGTGGGAGAACGGGGCTGGGATCGCAGTGGGATTCCGGGCTCATCCTGGGCTGGGATCGCAGTGGGATTCCAGGCTCATCCGGGGCTGGGATCGCAGTGGGATTCCGGGCTCATCCGGGGCTGGGATCGCAGTGGGATTCCAGGCTCATCCTGGGCTGGGATCGCAGTGGGATTCCAGGCTCATCCTGGGCTGGGATCGCAGTGGGATTCCAGGCTCATCCTGGGCTGGGATTCCAGGTTCATCCTGGGATTCATCCACAGCGGTTTCGGCGGGAAGGGATCCAGTTGCAACCCTTTACAATGGGACACATTTCACTAGAGCAGGCTGCTCCCAGCCCCACCAACCTGCCCGTGAACATTTAAATAAAGAAATTACCACCATTTTCCCGGTCAAGCTGTATCATCTTCACTTTTAACTAAATTATTCATATTTTTCTTTTTTTTTTTTTCAGACAAGATGTCGAAGGGACCAGCTGTCGGGATTGATCTTGGCACCACCTATTCCTGTGTTGGCGTGTTCCAGCATGGGAAGGTGGAGATCATTGCCAATGACCAGGGCAACCGCACCACGCCGAGCTACGTGGCCTTCACAGACACAGAGAGGCTCATCGGTGATGCTGCCAAGAACCAGGTGGCCATGAACCCAACCAACACAGTCTTTGGTAAGGCTGCAGGATTGGCACGCTGTTTAGTGATTAAAGAGATGTTTCCTGGCTGTGTGCATCACTAAAAGGTTTTCTCATAGCAGTTTTATACTTTAATTATTTCTAACCAGAATAAATTTGTGATAACAAGCTAAAATTTATTAAAGGCAGGGAAAATATTTGCCCTGTAGTAGGTTTTTCAGGGTAATCAGTCTTGGATAATCTTAATCAGTTGTCTTAACATAGTTTGTGGTTCAGTATTTTGGTGGTAATAGCACTGAATTTATGCACGTTAAAGAGATGAAATTTAGTGAATGCATCTGGGTCTTAACAAAGCACTAATAATGTTAAGGATCCTAATCTAGAATTTTCTGCAATTTTAGTAAAAGTTTTAGGTTTTTAGTTAAAAGTGACCATTATTAAATATTCAAATTATCTCTTCCAGATGCGAAACGGTTGATTGGGCGCAGATTTGATGACTCGGTGGTGCAGTCTGACATGAAGCACTGGCCCTTCACTGTGGTGAACGATGCTGGCAGACCCAAGGTGCAGGTCGAGTACAAAGGCGAGACAAAGAGTTTCTACCCAGAGGAAATCTCTTCCATGGTTTTAACCAAAATGAAGGAAATCGCAGAGGCTTATCTTGGCAAGGTGAGTCTGGGACTGAAGTGGAATGCTGTGTGAGTGGTTGTGTGTGAGGATTGCCATCCCTGACTGTGCTGTTGCTGTGTTTGCAGACTGTTACCAATGCAGTAGTGACTGTCCCAGCCTATTTCAACGACTCCCAGCGCCAGGCCACGAAAGATGCCGGAACTATTGCAGGGCTCAACGTCCTGCGGATCATCAACGAGCCCACAGCAGCTGCCATTGCCTATGGGCTGGACAAGAAGGTATGGAGGGGTCTCTGTGCCTGGCGAGGGAGGAAGCTGTTTCAGTAGAAGTAGGAATTAAATAATGAAAGAGGCTGTTTCCTGCAGGTTGGTGCTGAAAGGAACGTGCTCATCTTCGACCTGGGCGGCGGCACCTTCGATGTGTCCATCCTGACCATCGAAGATGGCATCTTTGAGGTGAAATCCACAGCAGGGGACACCCACCTGGGTGGGGAGGACTTCGACAACCGCATGGTGAACCACTTCATCGCCGAGTTCAAGCGCAAGCACAAGAAGGACATCAGCGAGAACAAGCGGGCCGTGCGCCGCCTGCGCACCGCCTGCGAGCGCGCCAAGCGCACCCTGTCCTCCTCCACCCAGGCCAGCATCGAGATCGACTCCCTCTACGAGGGCATCGACTTCTACACCTCCATCACCAGGGCTCGCTTCGAGGAGCTCAACGCCGACCTGTTCCGCGGCACGCTGGACCCTGTGGAGAAGGCGCTGAGGGACGCCAAGCTGGACAAGTCTCAGATCCACGACATCGTGCTGGTGGGAGGCTCCACGCGCATCCCCAAGATCCAGAAACTGCTGCAGGACTTCTTCAACGGCAAAGAGCTCAACAAGAGCATCAACCCTGATGAGGCTGTGGCGTATGGGGCAGGTAATTGATCGTTCTGCAGCTCTTGGTGGTTTCCACCTCAATCCTAAAGCTTGCCAAAGCTGTAGGAGTTCCCCTTGGACTTGCAATGATGAAGCAGATTCCAAAGCCATTCGTAGTTTCCACCAGAGGTCGAAAGGCTTGTGATGGTGCAAGTACCTTCCTTGGATGTCTGAGCGAGCCCTGTGCACCAGCAGAGTTCACAGGGGATGGGTTGCAGGGGTTTTAATGCTGTGTCTCTCTCCCCAGCTGTGCAGGCTGCCATCCTGTCTGGAGACAAGTCTGAGAACGTGCAGGACCTGCTGCTGCTGGATGTGACTCCCCTGTCCCTGGGTATTGAGACAGCTGGAGGGGTCATGACAGTCCTGATCAAGCGCAACACCACCATCCCCACCAAGCAGACCCAGACCTTCACAACTTACTCTGACAACCAGCCCGGGGTGCTGATCCAGGTGAGCACTGAGCTCTGGGGTAGTAACAGGACACTGACAGTGCTTTCACTGGTTAACACCTTTCTTGGTTAGCTAATTTTTAGGCCAGAGGTATTAAATTCCTGTAATTTGTAAATTCCTGGTTGCTGTGATGAAAGTGACTCCAAAGCCATTCGTAGTTTCCACCAGAAGTCGAAAGACTTGTGTTGGTCCAAGTACCTTCCTTGGATGTCTGAGCGACCACATCCCTTCAGGGTAACAATTAATTAACCCATTATGACTTTAATGACATAATGTGATGCTTCTCCTCCTTAGGTGTATGAAGGAGAACGTGCTATGACTAAGGACAACAACTTGCTGGGCAAGTTTGAGCTGACTGGCATTCCCCCTGCTCCCAGAGGGGTCCCTCAGATCGAGGTCACCTTCGACATCGATGCCAATGGAATCCTGAACGTGTCTGCTGTGGATAAGAGCACTGGCAAGGAGAACAAGATCACCATCACAAATGACAAGGGTAAGGATGTGCTGTCCTCCCCCCTGTCTGTGGGAGAGCACTTGAAAAAACGGGCATGTCAAGCTGTGCCTGTTGTTCTAGTCTGAACTTGGCTGTAATCAGCCTTTTCATCCAGATTTATACCTATGTGAGCTTTTAAGCTGCAGTAATTAATAAATTATTAAGAAGGCATGTTCTGGGTCTCTTCTGCCCCCCCAGGTTTAAAGTGTGTAATGTTTGGGAGTTAGGGATCATTCCCTGAGGACAGTCCATGCTCATGGTTTGTGTTCTCTGCAGGCCGGCTGAGCAAGGAGGACATCGAGAGGATGGTGCAGGAGGCAGAGAAGTACAAGGCAGAGGATGAGAAGCAGAGGGATAAGGTGTCGTCCAAGAATTCCCTGGAGTCCTACGCCTTCAACATGAAAGCCACCGTGGAGGATGAGAAGCTCCAGGGCAAGATCTCTGATGATGACAAGCAGAAAATCCTGGACAAATGCAATGAGATCATCAACTGGCTGGACAAGAACCAGGTATGTCAGAGTCCCTGTTCAGCTGCCAGGGGCTGGCTGAGCCACAGGGACAGTTCAGGCTCGAGGAGGAGCACTGGTTGCTGTGATGAAAGAGATTCCAAAGCCATTCGTAGTTTCCACCAGAAGTCTTTCCAGAAAGACTTGTGTTGGTCCAAGTACCTTCCTTGGATGTCTGAGCGACCACAGCTGGGGAGCACAGATAGTTCCCAATCCCTCCTGTTCCCTGGCTGCCTTCCAGGGGTGTGTTATTGTTCAGGAACAATGTGAGATGCCAAACCAAGCAGGAATAATTGTGCCTCTAATGCAAGTCTGCCTTGGTGCTGTGGGGCTAAACCAGCCAAGATTGTTGAAATGTGTGACCCAGGCAGTGCTGCTGTGCCCACCAGTGCACATTGTTGAAATGCATCACCCAGGCAGTGCTGTTTCCCTCCTGGGCTGTGCCCTGGAGCAGCAGCACCTGAGCTCTCGTTTCTCTTGCAGACGGCCGAGAAGGAGGAGTTTGAGCACCAGCAGAAGGAGCTGGAGAAGGTTTGCAACCCCATCATCACCAAGCTGTACCAGAGTGCAGGAGGGATGCCCGGTGGGATGCCTGGAGGATTCCCTGGGGGTGGAGCTCCTCCCTCCGGGGGAGCCTCCTCTGGCCCAACCATCGAGGAGGTGGACTAAGGACCCTGGGAAATGCATTCCACTAGCAGTTAGTGTTGGAGGAGACCCCCAGCTGGGGGTTGGAGTGAAGGACCCAATCCTGTAGGCACATCTGGGTTTATTTTGCCAGATTAATAACTCCATAACTGAGCTGCTGTAAAAAAAAAAAAAAAAAAAAAGGAAAAAAATTAAAAACTGAACAAAAGCATTTTTTTTCTGGGCATTTTAAATACTTGAAAGTGTGCGCAGGTGGGAGATGAATACCATTGCACTTTACAGTACTGTAAATGAGTGGGAATGCAATTCATGTCCTAAAGAATAAAAACTATTTAATGGGCATCACACTGTCTCTGCCTTCACTTGATTCTACCAGCTGACCAGTGGAAATAAAAGGAAAAAAACCTAAATTCAGGTAATTGGTGCTGAACTGAGCATGACCCCGGTGGGTATTGCAGTGGGAAAAGAGGTTTGGAACAGGGGCTGCTTGAGCAGTTAGAGCCTCGGTGGATTTTTGAGAGGAGAACTTGCAATGGATTATTTCTGAGCTGTGGCAGACAATTTCAGGATTAACCAGGTTGGAAAAGACCTTTTCCAACCTGTAAGTTTATCCTGCAAGTACAAGAATGCTGGATAATTAGTTTTTCTTTAAGGGATTACTGGCTGAAGTATCTCAATTTGTGGGATGATTCAGAGGTGACAAGGTGGAGAATTTGCTGGCCAGGGAGGAGGCCTGGGGTGATGTTTTCAGCAATACTTGGCTGAAATAATAATATAAAAACTAATAATATTTTGTAAATACAATAATATATGCAAATGTTTTTCAAGAATATTTGAATACTGTTTTATGAAAAAAAAACCCCACTGCTGTATGTGTAAATAGTATCAGTGAAGGAACAATTGACTTGCAATTAAGATCAGAAAATTCCTAGAGCAGTGCCAGGTGGAGGGAACTTGGGATGATCCAGTCTGGGACTCAAAAATATTTTGTGTTAGGGATCCTGCCAAGGGCAGGGGCACCAACAAAAAAAAAAAAAAAAAAAAAAAAAAAAAAAAAAAAAAAAAAAAACAAAAAAAAAAAAAAAAAAAAAACCACCAAAAAAAACAAAAACAAAACCAAACAAACAAACAAAAAAGAACTAAATAAAAACCCTTCAGGAACGGTGAGAGCTGGCTGTAAGGAAAGGCATGGACAGACTGGTTGGAAATTTTCATATATACCTCGTCCTGGTACCAGGGGGTAAAGCATGGGTTTATTCCTAATCCTGGTACCTAACAAGACGTGGGTTTATACTTAGTCCTGGTACCTAACAAAGTGTGGGTTTTACCAACAAGGTGTGGGTTTATACCCGTTCCTGTACCTAACAAGGAATGGGTTTTTACCTAATCCTACACCTAACAAAATCTGGGTTTATTCCTAATCCTGTGCCTAATAAAGTGTGGGTACCTAACAAGGTGTGGGTTTATTCCTAATTCTGGTACCTAACAAGGTGTGGGTTTATTCCTAATCCTGTACCCAACAAGGTGTGGGTTTATTCCTAAATCTGTACCTAACAAAATCTGGGTTTATTCCTAATTCTGTACCTAACAAAATCTGCATTTTTACCTAATCCTGTACCCAACAAGGCGTGGCTTTATTCGCACCACTCTACCCAGCACACACAGGCACTCAGCACCCTCCTCCTCCTCCTCCCTGCCCTTCCTCCCCTCTCCCTCCCCACCCTCATCCCCTCCCTGCTGATTTCCCACCAGTGCCTCCCTCTCTTCCCGGGAATGATTTCCCACCGGGCAGCAGGGCTGATTTCACTCATCAAATCTCCCTGCACTCCTTGCACATGAAATGTTTAGCCCGGCCCCAGCGAAGCACACCGAGTGTTAACGTGTCGCAGGCTGCCTGCAGCCAGCATTAGGCTGTAATTTGAAAGTGAGTGAAGTGATAATGCCACGCTCCCTGCTTTTGTGAGCCTGCATTAATGCAGCTCTGCCAGCACCAGGCATCGACTCCCACTAATAGTGTGAGGGAGGGTGGCAAAATTGGGGCTGATGCAGGAAATAAAGGGTATTGACCAGCCCACTGCAGTGCCACAGCGGCCTTTAATCTATTACTGCCCTTGATGGGGGTGTTTTAATGCAACTTTAGTGACAATCACATTTGCAGTCCCCACTCTGCCTGCTGCGAGGGCGGCAGGGCTCGGGTCAGGCTGTGGCTCAGAGCTCATAGGTATTGATCGTGGCCAGGCTCAGGGCTCTGCCTTATAATTATTTCATTAAACCATTTAATGGTTATCAAATATGAACCCCTCTCCTGTTCCATTTAGGAATTATTGCAATTGTTAATCCATGTCAAGCTTATTTCACTGAAATTGGCTGATGTTCCCAAGTGCTCACTGTGCCCTTCCCTGTGGATTGATCCCAGGAGAGCCCTTGGGGCTGGATCCCAGTGATCCTGCATTAAAGATCATCCCAAATGAGAGCAGGACATCCTGGTCCCCCTTAGAGTTGGTTTTTGGAGGAGTCACAGGGGAGGAGATGCTCGGGCTCTTTCCTTACACCAGAACCTGGAGGGACAGACTGGAGCCAGGGCAGGTTTGGGTTGGATTTTGGGGAAGTTTCTTCCCCCAGAGCTCATAGGTATTGATCGTGGCCAGGCTCAGGGCTCTGCCTTATAATTATTTCATTAAACCATTTAATGGTTATCAAATATGAACCCCTCTCCTGTTCCATTTAGGAATTATTGCAATTGTTAATCCATGTCAAGCTTATTTCACTGAAATTGGCTGATGCTCCCAAGTGCTCACTGTGCCCTTCCCTGTGGATTGAGCCCTTGGGGCTGGATCCCAGTGATCCTGCATTAAAGATCATCCAAAATAAGAGCAGGACACCCTGGTCCCTCTCAGAGCTGGTTTTTGGAGGAGTCACAGGGGAGGAGATGCTCGGGCTCTTTCCTTACACCAGAACCTGGAGGAGCAGATTGGAGCCAGGGCAGGTTTGGGTTGGATTTTGGGGAAGGTTCTTTGTGGGATTTGGGCTTGTTTTTTTTCTATTAAAGTGAATTGTGAATTCCTCTTCATTTCACTTTTCCTCCTCATGAATGGCACATTGAGTCAGGGTTTAATTCCTGAAACTGGAAAATCCCAGAGGAGCTGTGGGAATCCCAGGGACTCTCATCAGCTGCCCCAGGGCACCCTTCTGCCCTCTCTCCCAGCCCAAATCACCCAGATGGATAAAAACTGGATGAGCCCAACTGTGGGAAGCCTTTGGAATGCATTTGTATTCCAGATCCATTGGAGCCTGTATTCCTTGGCACCTTTCCATTAAAGCCCTGGATGCTCTGGAAGAAGCTATATCTTAATTTGAACAAAGTGATTCCAGTTTCTGTGGGCAGGCAGTGCAGTTCCTGCAGAGTCCTTTATCAGTATTCTGTGCTGCCTCCTGGCAGCTGCTCATTTGCTGTTGCCTCAACCTGTGCTGACCTCATTTTCTCTCACAGAGCAGTGAAGGATTTGGTAAAAATTAGTTATATTAGTGGCTCCCGATCCAGCCAGTTTATTTGTGATATGACAAATATTTCAGCCATTAGGATCTTTCCATCTCTTAGCAGCTTAAATGCACTCACTTATATTCCAAATCACTGCTTAATTTAAAAGCCTATTTGTGCAGATTGGCGCAGGCAGGGAAAAAACCTGCGGAACACTCACCCCTCCAAAGAGGGCTGTGGGATTGGATCCCCACTCCATAACTTCACAGTGCCTCTAATCACTCTGAGCACGCCAGGAGCACAGCAATTCCACGGAGGAAGGGGGGCAGGAGCTGGGGGTGCAGGGCATGGATGGAGGCTGGCTGTGCCTCAGTTTCCCCTCATGATGCCTTGGGAAGGCTGGCCTAGAACAGAGGCTGGACAGAGGCAGGGCTGAGATTTGGATCATTTGTCCTTGGTGCCCAGCTGGAGCAGGAATTGTTTTTGAATTACTGCTCGTGCCAGTTGATGTTTGAAATCAAATTTAAAGATAAAACAGCTCTAAATTTTTACAGTAGGTTATGGCAGAGAAATCTGAAAATAATTATCCTTGATACATTCTGCTGCACCTTTCACAATCAGGGAGTGGTGGAGACACATTTAACTGCAAGGAAAAGCTTCACAAACCAGAGCAAACTGTAATTCTTGCTCAGGCTCACTCCTGAACTTGCAAGGCTCTGGGAGTTCAGATGCTGATGGAAGTGGATCGATTTCCCCCTATATTGAAAGCTTCCAAAAAAAAAAATCCTCCTCAACAAAAAAAAAAACCCCAACCCACCTCCCGGGCTGCAAGTCCCATGGTTCCAATTAAAATCACCTGTTAACTTAAAAAGGTCTCTTTTTAAAAAGGGTTTAAAAGATTTTCATTTAATTGATTCAATGTAAAATGCCCTTTACAATTACCACTATAAACTACTTGTTTCCCACTGAGTAAGACCCAATTTGAGATGTTTATCAAGACTTTGCACTCTTTCCACTCTCCATACTGAGTTCTTAAATTCTTTATTGACAGCTTGCATCT